CTAAAAGCATATGGCCCGGAAACAAGCTTTTTAATTCCAAGTCTACTGGGGTAAGTTGAGTTATGATTTGGGGGAGGGAGGCTTTCATCTTGTTTCAGTATATTTGGGGGTTTTGTTGGGAGATACTGTCTGTGCTTAAATGCATACATGTAGTTTAGTAAAACCACTTATCTTATGGTTCATTGTTTTATATTGTGACATCTAGTCATTAAAGTTCACTGACCACCAGCACCACATTTAGAAAGCTGTGACACTGAAATTACTGCAAATAGTTATGGAGCCAAGGTGACCTTCAAATGTGAATCACCTCTTTCACATTGTTTACTATGGAACGATAACACAAAGTGCACACTAGTCCTGGCTAAGAGATAGCATCACCCATGGGGACTCTCACTCTGTCACCAAATAGAACAAAACCTTTTCTTGGTTTTTGTACTTTCTGTTTCCTGGAAGAATGGGAGATGGTACAGAGAACAGTGAATGACCTAAAGTGAATCAACAATCCCTAAATGAGCCAATACAACACTGTGAACTCCTGCCCAGGCCAGGACCCAGAGACTGAGAGCAAATTAGAACTCTCTTCATCTACATCAGTGGTTCTCAGCCCTCCTAATGCTGCAACTCTTTAATACAGTTCTTCAGGTCATGGTGACCCCAAACCATAAAATTATTTTTGTTGCTACTTCCTAACTGTAATTTTGGTATTGTTATGAATCGTAATGTAAATATCTGATATGCAACCCCTGTGAGAGGGTTGTTCAACACCCCGCACAAGGGTCAAGGGACCCACAGGTGGAGACCACTGATCTACATGGCTCATCTAAGCACAGTTTCACAGCCCCATGCCTTTATCTCTTTCCTCAATCTAACGCCTGGCTTCTTTGGAAAAGAGAGGGAAGGAGTGCCAGCAAAGGCCACACCACTTCCCAAAGGCCTAATACACAAAGGCCCCACCTAACAATGCTATTGGGGTGTAGAATAGTAACCATACTTTGAAAGTGAAATCCACACTATTTAAGACTGGAGTAGAAAATCCAGGATGGATGCCTACTCTGAAATTTTACTCAAGAATGTGGAAGCCATGCTGATACACAGGTACATTCTCTTCTCATAAATCAACATGAATGTTTCGGTTGTCACATAAAGACTTTAAAACTTTAACAGCCTAGTGTGGTGCATATTAAACAGATTTTAAACTACAACCACATCTTGAATGGATTAAGCAATACCTATAATCATGAAAAACGATCAACTCTAGATGTTGTGGTGATACTTGACACTAAACAGGGAACCAAACTAGGTTTCACTTACAACACATGACCATTCAAGATGTTACATAGGTTTATGAAGCAGCCCCGATAACCTTGAAGTACATAGGCTCTTGGGTTCACCCTGCAGATCCCACCACCAGCAAAAGCAGTGATTTTTCTATTTCAGTATGCTTGTGAAAAGAAACCATAGGATATAAAGATTTCTCCACCAAGTTTGAGATTTGGAGGAAGGGAGAACAAACCCAAAATTCCCAGTCAAAGACAACTCCATGTTGGTCTTGAACTCTTTGATATCTAGAGCCGTGGTCCTCACACTCATGTGCTTAGACAAGGGTTTCATCAAAACACTTCAGTATTCTTCTGCAATGTTCATCATCATCTTCCTGCTGTATTCATAGACCAAAAACAGAGCAGCATTGGAAGGGATAGCTCGAATCAGAGTGGCTTTCATTCCAGAATACAAGGTTAATATTCCTTCATTTCTCACAACACTTAAAAAGGTTCTGATTAATCCTACTCGATGCCCAGACATAGAAAGAACCTGGATTCTGGATTTAATACAGTCCACTGGGAATATGATAAGCCAGAGGCAGATCCCGGCAAAGCCTCCACTTAACATCAAAGAGACAGGGCCTAGTTCCTCCTTTGGTCTTCCCGCGGCAAGAAATGATCGACCGAGTTCATAGCCCCCAAAGTAGAAGAAATAGCCAGGTATTTCCTGAAATAGAGTGGTGGGAAGTCCACGATAGAAGCCTAAGAAACCATCCTTCATGAAGATACTCTTAACCATAGCCCAAATTGTGCTATAGCTTTGTGCTATCTTCCCTGACATCTTCATTTCATACATGGTCTGCAGCCGGCACTTCACAAGTTCAGTGGGGCAGAGGGCCAGCGCAGCAAATGCGGAGGCCAGTGACCCAGCCGTGGCAGTCTGGAAGTCGTTCAGCTCTGCGCTCTGATCCACTCCGGCCACTTTCCTGACAAACTGTTGGCAGAAGCCATAGCACATGAATAGGATAGAGCTCTGGGCAACGTAGGCTAGCAGTGCAGGACTGGTTCCCCTGTATAAACCCCGGAAGCCCACTTGGTTATAGGTCCTTAGGAAGCAGTCGGCGAGGCCTTTGTACATGTTGGGGAATGTCTGCATCTTCACTTTGATGGTGTCAAAGGGCTGCCCTGTCAGCACACACGCTGAGCCCCCAGCGCCGCCCGCAATGAGGTCTATGGCGGCTTGGACGGCAGGATGGATTTCATGTTCGTCCGCCCCTCCGTGGGTGTCATCAGAAGGCAAGTGACCGTGGGCTCCCACGGCTGGCTGCTGCAGGCTCTGTCTCTCCGTCTCCCAGCCGAGGCCACTCAACCCAAAGCCGCGGACCGCTGCACTCCCCAGCCGCTTGGGAATAACCCCCCGGCCACGTGCATCCACGAGTGCCCCGCTGTCCGCGTGGGCAGAGGCAGAATGCTTCAGGGACACTTCTCCCATAAATACGTACAAGGAAACTCTTCGCTGGAGCTGGGGGTGTAGGTCAGTGGTAGAGCGGGTGCATAGCTGGGTGGACTATGCTTCCCCCTTTGGGGGCCAGACTTCCCCGTTTCTTACCACACAAAATGACACGGGGAGGGGGTGGGGGGTGCTCTCAGTTAATCTAGTCTGGATTTAATGGGCACAGCCTACCGAAAGAGAGACTTAAAGTAGAGAAGACGGGCCATGCATGGGGGACCACACCTTTAACTCCAGCATTCAGGAAGCAGAGGCAGGTTTTGTGAGTTCGAAGCCAGTAGGGGACACATAGCGAAACTCTGCCTCAAAAAATGAATAAATAATCGAGAAGATAAAATACTTGGGAACTGTTACATTTGAGTCCATGGTACAAAACAAAACATCTCTAGCCAAATGCTCTTCTCTCCTCTTCCGGAGTAAGAGAGGTGGGAACCTGAGTTGTACAAACGATTTTGGAGGTAAGACCAAATCTGGGGTCAAACTGTGTACTGAAAAGTTTCTTGCATTTAGCCTTCCTGAACTGTATTTAAAAGTGATGCTTTTACCCCCGGGTAATCCCAGGGAGAGACAGGCAGATCTGAGTCCAAGGCCAGTCTGGTGTACAGAGCCAGTTTCAAAACAGCCTGGGCTAGCTACCTAGAGACCCTGTCTAAAAAACAGAAAGTGAGGCATTAAAGATCAGATTGTGCATGGTAAGTAAGAGACAGGCTTTTTTCCCCCAGTAGATAACCTGGCCTTTTCTTTGGAGAATGTCCAACTGTCGACATTGGGAATTCTTTTCTCTGAGATAACTTTCCTTTAGAGACAATCATCTTT